CCTAAAATACACATGTAAGCCAGGTACTGGTGGCTCACTCAGGAGGCTGAGATCTGAGGATCCAGGTTCAAAGCCAGACCAGGCAGGAAAGTCCGTGAGACCCTTTTCTCCAATAAACCACCAGAAAATCGGAAGTGGTGCTGTGGCTCAGGTGGCAGAGCGCTAGCCTTGAGCTGAAGAGCTGAGGGACAGCACCCAGGCCCAGAGTTCAAGCCCCACAAACGACAAGGAAAAAAGAAATCCAAACAAACCTCATGTAATACCACAATTCTTCACTCTGTTGAGTAGGACAATATGCATTGGAAAACCTAGAACCAATAACATCAAAACTGCTTTTGTCTTTCATAGTCTTCATGACTGGGACATACCAAAAGAAGAAGAGGGGAAAATCCACACTCAAAACTTAGATTTAAGCCACTGGGCATGGATGGAGCTGATGGTGATGAGCTGATGGTGATGAGCTGATGGTCTGAAATGCACTCAGGAGTGAGGTGGTACAGATGGAAAGCACCTGGGTGGCTCTGAAGAGGTACACCACTGCCTTGCAGCCAACAGCAGCCAGAAAACACTGGACTCCATAGGTTTAGAGCAAGGAGTTCTCTGTGACAGTGATGCACAGGTGGGCTATGAAGAAAAGACCCCACATGTATTCACCCCTAAACATCATTAATGGTGTTTGTGATGTCTGATATATAGATCAGGCAATTGGTCAGTTCAGGAAAAAATCATTGCATGAAATGATCGATTCATTCAAAATTGAGCTTCAGGAAGAATATGCAGAAGATGAAATTGTTTCAGGCCCAGCGGTGGCACCTGTGGAATGGGATCCCAAGGGTTCCCGAGGATCTTAGAAGACAGAAATGGCTGAGATTACAGGAGAGTAACTGTTCCTTATACTTTGTTCCTAGTGCCTTAACTAGGGCCTATGTGAATCACAAATTTGCACGTTATAAGGCATTTTCTTTGATCTTCAGATTTTATTGTGTGTGTGTGTGTGTGTGTGAGAGAGAGAGAGAGAGAGAGAGAGAGGGAGGGAGGGAGGGAAGGAGGGAGGGAGAACTCCTGGGGCTTGATCCCAGGGCCTAAGTGCTATCCATGAGCTTTTTTTTTTTTTTTGAATTGTTGTTCAAGGGTAACAGCTCCTTTTCCATCTTTATGCAGGCGGATTTGAACTGTGTTCCCTAGATCTCAACTTGCTGAGTAGCTAGAATTATCAGATGTGGAAATACCCTCCTGCACTTCCTAATGACTGGATAAAGCATTGTATTAGTCTTGTTTTTATTTGAGCATGGCTCTGATCTTTTTTTTTTTTTTTTTTTTTGGTCAGTCATGGGGCCTGAACTGTGGGCCTGGGCTCTGTCCCTGAGCTCTTTAGCTCAAGGCTAGCACTCTACCACTTGAGCCATAGCACTACTTCCAGCTTTTTCTGCTTATGTGGTGCTGAGGAATCGAACCCAGGGCCTCATGCACGCAAGACTAGCACTCGACCACTGAGCCACCTTCCCAGCCATGGCCTTGATATGAAATAAAATCAATATAACGTGACCAAATGATGGAATGCAAGTACATTTCCGGAGGTAAATAACAAAAAGAAAATCTACAAAAAATAATTGTACAAACCAATCCTACACTATGATAAAACAAAGGCATGGGAACAGGAGATTGATTCAATCTAGGTTTCATATCACCCATTTTCCCTCTGCAATTATCCTAGAACTAGACAATTGAAAAATACAGGAGTATTTTAAATAGTACCAGGAAATCTACCATGAGATAGATTCAGCATGTGTAAGTGATGGACATTATTATGCAGAAATGGTAAGGTTATTGTTAAAATGATTAAAAAACACACTACAATGTTCAGAGTATCTTATCTGTAGGTAATGAAAAATTTCCATTGAGGTTGGATGAATAAAGTCATCTGCTGTCAACTACTATTTGGAGAGTTTGATTGTGAATAATGAGTTAACAAAGGTGAATAAATGAGCAGTGGTACTTGGTTGACACTCTGTAGAAAATGAGCTATGCAATTTGTGGATAGTACCAGGATGGAAAAACTGGGAGAGTGAAAGAAGAGGTAACATTGTCCAGAAAGAAATGTACTCATTATTTGGCTTAAAGAATGTTAGCCCTGCTGGGCACTGGTGGCTCATGCCTGTAATCCTAGCTACTCAGGAGGCTGAGATCTGAGGATCACGGTTCAAAGCCAGCCCAGGCAGGAAAGTCGTGGTTTATCTCCAATAAACCACCAGAAAACCAGACGTGGCGCTGTGGCTCAAATGGTAGAGTACTCGCCTTGAGCTGAAGAGCTCAGGGACAGTGCTCACGCCCAGAGTTCAAGTGCCACAACCAATAAAAAAAAAAAGTTAGCCACGTTGTACATCATCTTTATAATAACTATTTAAAAACTAAAATGAGAAAAAGTGGGACAGGGCCCAGGCCTGGAGTTCAAGCCCTATGACCAACACCAGGGGAGAGAGAGAGAGAGAAAGAGAGAGAGAGAGAAAAGGGGGATGAAGGGGAGTGGGGGAGAATCGCAGGAAAGTCTGTGAGACTCTTATCTTTAATAAACCATAAAAAAATCTGGAAATAAAGCTGTGGCTCAAGTGGTAGAGCATTAGCCATGGGCATAAAAGTGCTCAAAAAGCATGAACAGCGTTCATGCTCTTAATTCAAGCTCCAGGACCAATCAAAACATAACAACAAAAGACTTCAGTAGATCACTTTGTAATATGAAATTTCTTTTTTTTTTGGGCTGGTCGTGGGGCCTGAACTCTGGGCCTGGGCACTGTCCCTCAGCTCTTCAGCTCAAGACTAGCACTCTAACCACTTGAGCCACAGCCCCACTTCCAGCTTTTTTCTTTTTTGCTTATATGGTGCTGAGGAATCGAACCCAGGGCCTCAGGCATGCAAGCAAGTGCTCTACCACTGAGCCACTTTCCCAGCCCCTGAAATAAAATTTCTTAGGGTTTTTCAGGGTTACTGTCGATAAACTCAGTCTACAAAACATTTAGGTTTCTGGACCAGTATGAAAGTATGTTTGCAACTCCATGTCAAATCACATGTTTAGCAGAAAAATATTGTAACGTTGGTGGAAAAGGGATAATGAAAAGTATTCCAACTTCTTCCTCTCTAGGTTGGGAGTTGGGAAATCCTCTCACAGGGTCTAGCCCAGCTGCGTTTGCCCAGCTAGGACTGTGTAGCAGGCTCCTCATGATAGGGCCTCTCCCAGGAGACATTAATCAGTGTCTCCTGCTGCCTGGCTGGCCTTGTTTACTGGGCATCACTCTGATGCCCCCACAGGAGCTGTAAAGTGCTTTTCCCAGGTGCCAAAGGAAGCTCTTGGAGAGTGTATTAAGTTGATTAATTAGAGGAACAGAATTACCGTTTTAAGATGTGTTTTTTCCAAGTCAAACTCATCAGAAAGTAAACTTCAGGATGTGACCGGTTATTAAAAGTTGGTTCTCACAGCTGTGGATACATCCTGAGCTCTCTGCCTTCCCCACTGGGACCTGGAGCTACCTGTGACCCCATCTCCTGGCTTTCCAGAGAATAGGTTCTGATGGGCACAGTGTGAGGGGCTCAAGGACCCCACAGCACGGGGGTCAGTCTTAGTTCTAAGGAATAGGGTGTATTAGAATGTTTTCTCATTTCTAAATCTCTGGCCACAATAGGCAGATTTAAATGGCCATAAAGTTGTACTCCTGCATGCCTGGAATGCCCAGGAGGTGGGGATCTGAGGATCATAGTCCCTGAGATTATTATCTCCAATTAACCACCACAAAGCTGGTCTGGAGTGGTAGAATGCCAGTCTGGAGTGAAAAAACTCAGTCCCCAAGCCTTGAGTTCAAGCCCAAGGTCTGGCACACACAGAAAATATGGGTATGTCTGCAATCTAAATAAAACAAACAAAAAAACTAATCCTACATAATAAGAATTTTTTAACTTTTAATATGCAAAAATATGTACTTCTAAGGTTAATATCCGTTTTCCCTGCCTAGTGAGAGCCATATGGCTTTCCTTCTTCATTTTGCCAATATGCTGATTTGCTAACAGATGCTAAGGCTTATATATAAGCTTATGATGACCAACTTTGATCTAGATTGTTAGCTGGGGCCTCCTTGGTCCTCCTGTTGAGAAAACCCCAAACTTTAAAATATTATATTTCTATTTAATTATTTGTAGAAAGGACTTGCCATTCTATCAAGCTGTTTATGAAAACAATATGTCTCCACTGATGTCCTCTTAAGATTTTGATTGACAGCTTTGGTGGGTGGGACCAAAGAGCATTTGGTCTGCCTCTTAGTCATCCATGTCCAGTGTAAAAGATGAAGAGGAAAACCAGGCCATCACACACGATGGGATCTTCAAGGTCAGTGGAGCTGGTCTTTGACTCCTCACACTTGACAGCCTTGTCTTTTACCTTGAAACCTTTTCACTGCTATTCAGTGTGCCCCACAATCAATGCTACTCTATCAGAGAACTTTCTAGAAATTCGGATCCCTACATGTATCCTCTGAATGCTACTCTACCTGGACAAGAGGCCTTTAATGTATGTGAGACTCCCCATGGATTCTCTAAGTTGCTACAGACTGAAGTCCCCTTTGTCAGGTATAACTGCAGGAAGCTCCATGGGAGCCGTGGAGATGGTTTACTTCAGAAATCTCATGGGGGCAAGGGGCCAGCCAAGCAAGGACCAGATTGCCATGTGGTCCTCACATCTGCACTGGCCCAGGTGGTTTCCATGCGAAGCCCTTTGCAACCTTGGAGATTTCATAGGTCAGGACGAGGGTCAAGGGCACGAGCTGTGAAGTTGCCACGTTGGCCACTGGCCCAGGCAGGGACGGTGTGGCACCTCCCTCCACTCACCTGACCCCAGGAATCCTGGCTGACGGGAAGGAGGGAAACTGAGCTGTCTCTCTTTTCCTTGGCCTGTGGTTCTTCCACTCTCCCCTAGAAGCTATGAACTCAGCACAGAGACCAAAATAATACTGATTTATTCCAATCGCGAAGCACAGTAGTTCAAAGAATTCCCTTCCCCAGAAGTCTCTGCTTCAAACAAACCGCCAGTGTCCTCTCCCTCAGCCGGGGGGAGAAAAAGGAGGCAAAATCTCAAATCACTGCTCTCATTCCTCCCCAGTCCGTCTCCTTTTCAAAATTCTCCTCCCCTCTGCATTTCCCCTCAAGTGTCAGCTCCTGATTCCTATCGCCATTGCTCTCCTCCCCTTTCGTCTCCAGTACTCATCCTTCTTCCTCTTCCTGGCTAGACAGCCTGTTCACCCCGCCGCGCTGCACAGCCCAGTGCCCCCCATCCCGGCTCTGCCTCTTCCCTGCCTGCCTTCCTCCAGCACCGCGTCGCCCCTTTCTCTTTGGCCCCAGGAAGTCCTTGGAGGCATCCGGACCATCGCACTTCCCTCGGCTGAGGATCGTGGGGACCATGTGCTCTGGGGGGAAAGGGGGTCACCGACCACCGTCTGCTCTTGTGGCCTTGGATCCGGAGGAGGTGGCTGGCTGAGAACTGGGGTCCGGCCGTTTTCTTTGGGATGGACGGACACCCTCCCTCTGCGGCGCGGGGCCGAGAGGGGGTGGGGGAGTCAGAGCGCCGGGGCCTTCCCCCAGCAATCCCTGAGCAGGTCGGCATGGAACAAGGGTGCGCCGGTGAGCAGGCGGGCGGCGAAGAGGTGGCGGCAGGGCAGGCGGCGAGCGGCGTAGATGGTGCAGCTGCAGTGCGTCAGCGCGCGGTCCAGCACGAAGTCGGAGCTGCCGTCCTTGAGGGCGAAGCCGGCGCCGGTCCAGTGGAAGCTCTGCGCGCCGTGCTGCCGGGCGAACGCCAGCTCCTCGGCCACCAGGTCGGCCAGCTCGGGCCCGCAGGCGGCTCGGAACCGGGCCAACGGCTCCCAGTCCATGGCCTCCTCTTCCGGGGACTCGCCGGGCCTCTTTGGTTCCTGGCCGGCTTCGCCACTGCCGCCGCTGCCGACCTGATGCTCGTGCCCAGCGGGCCCGGGGTCCGCGTCCACACCGCCGCCGTCCTCCTCGGCCGGCTCGCCCCCTGCCGGATCCCCGCACCCCGCCGGCCCCCCGTCTCCGTTCGCCATGTCGCTTGCCTTCGTGTCTCCCAACCGCACCACGACGATGTCCTCCAGGCCTCGCCTCCTCTTTGGCCCCGGCCTCCCCCCAGCAGGCCTCCCTCCGGGCTCCTCTACGCTCCGAAGCCCTGGCCGCTTCCGGCCCTCCACGCCCCCGGGCCTCGGCTCACCGGGCTCCTCCTTCACGTGGACGCTGCTCCCCGGACTCCCTTCCCGGCTGCCCCGTTCGCCCAGGGCGGCTTTGAGCTCGGGTCCTGCGCGGGGCTCCGGCCGGGGCCCCCGCCAGTCCCTCACCTCGGGCCCCCCCTCCCTGCGGGCGCCCCTCACCTGGTTCTCCAGCCGCGCCCCCTTCCAGTCTCTGGCCAGCGGCCCCTTCCCCTTGTCAGCGTCCCCGCGCGGCCGG